GCCAGGGTCCCACTCAAGATTTAATTCAGCAGGTCTGGGACGGAGCTCAGAAATCTGCATTTTACGTGAATCCCAGGCAGCTCCGATGTGGGTGGGGTCTCGCTTGGTGAGGCGGTCCAGCAGGCGTCTGGCCTGGCTCCTCCCTGGCATTCAGGGGCTTTCACCGCAGATGCTTTTTACAGCCGTTTCTGACTGGGCTCACCCCTCTGCTAACTTCCTCGGGCTCCTGCACCCCTAGTGTTGCCTCAAAAGCCCAGTGGGGCAGGCGCTGGTCAGGTGGAAATGGAAGCGGGAGAGGGGGCAGGGCTGGTGGGGAGAGGAAGCAGCCACCAGCGGGGAGCCCAGGGAAAGGGTGGGGCAGGGATGGCGTGAGGACGGCACACAGGGCACACAGGGCGGGTAACGGGAGTGTGATCACATGGAGGACAAGTGACCTGAGAGCCACCAGAAGCAGGAAAGAAAGGCACAGGGCTGGCTGGAGCCCCAGCGATGCTGCTCCAGCCCCCAACGTAAACAGCCAGGCCCGGGTCGACCTGCGACAGAGCTGCTGCCACATGGGGGCGCTCGTGGGAGGGAGAATCAGGGGTTCCTTCTCTCAGGGGCATTATCCATTCCTGACTCACTCACTATGCTATTCTTGGCCCCAGAACTCCAAGTGCAAGTCCTTGTAACTCTCTAACCTGCTAAGTAAACAAATGCCTAGGTCCTTGAAATATTAAAAGGCATTTCCAAGGAGCTGGAAGCTGACACCCTTGATTTCAAAAGAACGGTCTTGATTTCAAAAGAACAGAGGTACACTCTGAGCTGCCCTCAAGTACACAGGAAAGGCGACGCCTCGCCCACGTGAATGCCAAGGGACTCACATTCTCAGGGTGTGCAGGCCGCACGGACACGGACACCTGTTTCAGGCCAGAATAGCTGAAGCACATCGCAGAACAGAAATGCTTCTACACGTCTCTTCGCGGCAAGTGCCACTCGGTAGGTTTTCAATGACACTCAAAGGGCATATTTTCTTCATGGCAAGCCGTCTACCAGCTCACCACCCTAATAATGCTGCTGTATTCGAAGCTAATTACTCAGATCACACACAGGATGAAGGCGGGTGGGGATTTAGAAAGATAACGTGAATACTCACAACAGACATCTATTGTGTTGGCAAATAAATGTCCAGGTGTCCGCACTGTGAAGAATGCCTACTTTATTTTTATTTTTTCCTTTATTGATTTTTAGAGAGAGAAGAAGGGAGAGGGAGAGAGAGATAGAAACATCAATCAATGAGAACACTGATTGGCCGACTCCTGCACACCCCCCACTTGGGATCGGGCCCACAACCCGGGCATGTGTCCTGACCGGGAATCAAACCAGAGACCTCCTGGTGCACGGGTCGATGCTCAACCACTGAGCCACACCGGCCGGGCAAGAACATCTACTTTGAAAGCAAATCTTTATCATCCAAGCCCGTCAAGAAACCTGTAACCAGTTCCTCACACCTCCAAATTAACTATGTGAGTCTTCTCAAGCTGTCGACATACCCCTTCCAAGAACACAAAATCCGTGCAGGTACAGCTGCCACAGCAGGGAGATTTCTTGGTCCGAAGATAAGAAATCAGGGAGTGATGTCAAGCAGTGGTTTTCAAACTTTTAGGCAGTGGGGTCCTTTTATCAATGACCCTCAATAATAAAATACAAGTATTATTGTATTTGTATAGATTTATCCCTGAATTTAAAGCACTCTGTAAAAACACAGTTACTTGGTGGACATAAAAATCTGAGTGGAATTAAGGCTGACAACTTGTTAAAGGAGGTTCAGTCTCCACATTACGGATACACTGTGTTGTGCTTGCAGCTTTAAGAACATTCTGATTCACTGACACAAGGAGACGCCGAGGGCACGGGGGTCAGTGCACCATGCATCCTCAAATCCACTTAAATAAGATGTCACAAGTTTTATTGCAGGGTCCATGCAAAAAAAATTTGCCTGGCAGAAAAACTGAAATGTTGGTCGTCTACTATAGTTTGGTATTGAACAACAGCCTGCATTTTAAAAAATTACATTTAAAAGTATTTTAAAAACTAAATATTGCATCAAATATTTATAGAATGAGGCCTCTGGGAATGGAAGACTAGCCCATTCCAGACCAGCTCTTCACAGATCATTATAAACGGAACAAACTGCACGGTACTACTGAAGGCACTGGAGGAAAATAAAAGACCCAGAAAGACACCAGAGGAGAGTTGATGCTTGGAAGGAAAAACCTCTGGGTGCATTTCCTGTTTTTAATGGCTTTTTGCTGTGGGACAAGCTCTATCCTGTCGAGCAGGGCAGATAAACTTAAATAGAAAACCCACTACTGCTCTGCTGGCCTGCCACACAGCCTTACTGGCTTTAAGAAATAAGAGAACTAAGTGTCAAGTGACTAGAACAGACAGAAAGTGAAGGGAGAATCCCAGAAAGGAGAACCGGAGAGGGGGATCCAGAAATTCTGTGTGAAACTGCCCAAACCTCTGGTTGACCCTGTAACCAGACGTGAGCAGGGCAAACTCCAAGCAGCCTGGCGAAGAACGTAAGAGGTTTCTACTGCTATCCACTGCAGGGGAGGGTGGGGAGCGCAAGTCTATCCATGTTAACTGTCTTCTTTTAAAAAATCAGTATTTGCCCTGGCCGGTTTGGCTCAGCGGTTAGAGTGTCGGCCTGCGGTACAGAGAGACCCGGGTTCGGTTCCCGCTAAGGGCATGTACCTCGGTTGCAGTTTGTCCCCGGCCCTGGTTGGTCGTGCGGGTGGCAGCCACTCGATGTGTCCCTTTCACATCGATGTTTCTCTCTCTCTCTTCCTCTCTCTCCCTCCTGCTCTATCTGAACAAAAAATGGAAAAATGTCCTCAGGTGAGGATAAAAAAAAAAAAAAAATCAGTATTTTTCCGAGAAATATAACAGAATCCAGAATCTCTAAAATGTGTGGTTCACAAAGTTTATGATACAATCCAAAACCACTAGGCATGCACTCAAGAGAAAAGGTAATCAGTAGAGATTAATCCTGAAAACATTCAGATGTTTGAATTAGCAGCAAGGATTTTAAAGAGTGAGTACACTTATGCTCAAAGAGTAAAGGAAAATCAACTTGTAATAAATGAACAAGTAGTAAATTTAAGCAGAGAAACAAAACTATAAAAAAGAGCCAATAACCCTGGCCGCTTTGGCTCAGCAGTTAGAGCGTCGGCCCGTGGACCAGAGAGTCCTGGGTTCAGTTCCTGTGAAGGGCACGTATCTTGGTTGCAGTTTGTCCCTGGCTCCAGTTGGGGTCGTGTGGGTGGCAGCTACTCGATGTGTCTCTCTCGTGTCAATGTTTCTCTCTCTCTCCCTCCCTCTCTCCCTCCCACTCTACCTGAAGATAAGATGCAGAAAGGTCCTCGGGTAAGGATAAAAAGAAAAAAAAAACAAATAATGCCTAAATATCATGAAAGATATAAATTTAGAGTCAAGCTCAGTGAACCCCAAGCAGGGTAACTACAAATAACATCTAAGGATGTGAAGCAACATTGTTGGTGAGTGTGAAATAGTGCAGCCACTTTGCAAAACTGACAGTTTCTTATAAAACTAAAAATACACCTACATATAACATAGGCTAAACTAATCTATGGAGGGAAAATCCAAACGGTAGTTGCTCCAGAGACTAGGACAGAAGTGACTGATGGCATGAGGGAGCATTCTGAGGTCACAGTACCGCTGTCTATCTTGATGGGATTTGTGATACATTGTTAAAACTTGTCGAATGGTATAAGATGTGTGCCTTTCACTCTAAATATCTTTTACTTAAAAATATTAAGTAGAGCCCTGGCCAGTCTGGCTCAGCAGTTAGAGTGTTGGCCCACAGACCAAAGAGTTGTGGGTTCGATTACAGTCAAGGGCACATGCCTCGGTTGCAGTTTGTCCCTGGCCCTGGTCGGGGTCATGCGGGAGGCAACCAGTCAATGTGTCTCTCTCACATCGATGTTTCTCTCTCTCCCTTCTACTTTCTGAAGATAAATGGAAAAATATCCTCGGGTGAGGATTTTAAAAAAAGCACAAATATTAAACCCTAAATTATGATATGGATACTGAAGTGTTCAGGGGTGACGTGTACTGAACTTACTTTGAAATGCATAAAATACGTACACTGAATTGATGGGTGAATAGAAGGAGAAGATGGGTACATGGGTATTTACTGAACAATTTTCTTGTCGGTTTAAATTTTTTCATAATGGGGGAAGAGGGGTACTTACCTGGTTCTTGAAGGTCTGCTATAACAGGAGGATCGAAAATTCATGAATTAAAGAGACAAGCTCTGAGAGCCAAGCAGTACAAGTGGTGGTCAGTTTCCCCTCTTAGCACTAGGGAGCTGAACTAGCCGAACACCAAGATCCTTCTCAATACAATGGCTGTGTAAGCATGAAGCTGTCACGATCACAGAATAATCAACAGGCTGCAAGTGCGAGAGACTGTACATCTGTAGCCGCAGCTGTGGTGGTGGCGGCCAGCTTACAGATTCCTCCGTCCTGAGCACTGGGGATGATTTCCACCTTGTCTCCCCGCTCCCCGCAATGCCTCTCCCTCTCGCCTACCACTTCACCGATCGATCCTATGGTTCATTATCAGAAAGTCCTTTTCCTACCCTTGGCCCCGGGCTAATCTCTCTTCGTTCTCAGACCTCAGACCTTGGCCCTCAGACCACACTGGGCACTTCCCATTCCACCCCCAACGGAAGCACCGGTAACATGTTCTCAGTTACTTACCTGACAATGTGTACAGCCTTTCTCTCTAGACTGAAGGCTCCATGAGGGCGGAAACCAGCCAGCAGGGGACGTGCAGGGGTCAGAAATGGCTCACATTCGCCAGTTATAAATAAGCCAAACCTTTTAGGGCTAAAAGTGTAATTTTATTTAGATGTTACTTGTTCATAATCTATAGTAAGATATACAAACAGATAAAAATTGTTTAACAGAAGTTTTTTTTTTAATACCACTTTAAATTTAATTTACAATAGCATTGGTAATACTGCAGGATGATAGATACTCTGATTAGAAAACAAAAAGGACTTGTTACTCTGGCTGATACGTTCCCACTAATCTTTAATGGATTAAAATGTATCATGTATTTCAGCTGCAAATTATTATAGAACTTTCACAACCTAGCCACTTGGTGCTCAGAAAACATTTTGGTATTCTAAAAATTTACTGAAATGAAAATGTTAATTCTCTAACAGGATACTTTTACCAAAGAAAAATGTAAGGGTACCAGATCTTTCAGTTTGGTTTTAGGCTAACAACAGAAAATCAACCATATCATGTTTGCGTCGCTAATGTGTGATACAAGTGATCTCTCATCTCCTCTGCCTAGTCTATGACATGAAAGCAAGCCTGTAAGATACTAAACTAAAATATGCATGGGGGAAAAGACTGGGGACAATTAAAAATAACCTTACAATAATACATAACTATTTTAAAATGTAAAACGCCTAGGCATGAAATATGCTTTTAAATGTTCTCCATTTGTTTTGGTAAATACTTTTTGAAAATCAAAACTGAACATTAAAAATATTCACTTTTTCCTTTTCATGTAATACCATATTAGAAAAAGTATGAATTTAAATTTTAGAATCAAATTTGCTGAGAAAAATACTGCAAAAATAATCTAAATTGAACTTTAGTCCTTTTCCACCCTTTCAAAGGCTACAGTACACATCAGGGGAGAGCATTCCCACTAGTCAAAAAATCAAACTGAAAACAACTTGTTGACTAAACTACAGGAAGGCAACTAATAACTAATAGGCTTATGAATATTGATGAATAAAGTGCCACTGATTTTATGGTAATAGGATATAAATGGAAGAAATCCTGACATAGATAGTAGCTTTGTGTGTTCTCTCTCCATCCTGAGAACAGAAGAAACATGAAAAACAGAGAAGCATCACCAAATATGAGTTCTAGAATTATACAGGTAACTCCTAACCCAAAAGTAACAAAAAGAAAGAAAAAAAATACTATAATAAAGACAAAACATTGTTATAAAGACAAAATAAGACTAAAAATGATAAAAGTCCCAAGAATAATGCCAACAAAGTAGACCTCTACATTGAAAATAAAAGGGTGGGGGGATTAAAGAGAGAAATTAAAGGTTCGTTAATAACTATTATTTATATTGAATAAAACTCTGGTGACAGCAATGGTGACTACCTCTAAGAAACGGAAACTCAGCATGAGCCAGGCAGCCAGTGAGCTGCGAAGACTCGGCAGCCTGGATGTGCGGGGCCTGGGCAGGGGCGCAGACGTGAGGCTCTCCAGGGTGACCGTGTACAAGCCAGTGTCCACGCGGGGACACAGACATGCTTCGGGGCCAGCTGGTCTCTTCTGGTGAACTCATGAACACAAGTCTACTCCATCCCTGCCATCAACCCAAACAGCTCCTTGGCTGACTCCTGAGCAGTCTGCGCACACCAGTGCCCGCTGTGCTGGAGGGGCTGGGCCTCAGCGAGAAGCCGTAGCAAGCAGTGTCTCAGTCATGTGTGCGTCCTGTTGACACTCAAAGCCTGGGTGCTTGTTTATTCTAGATCAGCAGTTACCCTTCATCCACAATCACAGAACACAGGCTCTCATCCATGAGTCCCCCTCCAGCCCCCCGCTTACCTTCACCAGGAATGGGGACCCCACGGGTCTGCGCGACCACGTGGGGAGAAAGCAGGATGGGCACAGGTGAAAGGAACAGGTCCACTACAGCTACAGGTCTAACCAAATCGGAGGTGCTTTTAGAAGTGTGCTGACGACAACGTGAGAAGAGAGAATGTGTGCTTCGAGGAGAGCAGAGGACTTGCTCCCGTGATGGCCCCTCATCCAGCCACGGTGCCAGGAAAGCAACGCGCTCCACACCTACAGCCGCCTCACCCAGCCATCTGAAGCTCAGACCACGCGGACCAAAATGCCATCTGCAGCCCCCTGGAGCCCGCAGAGGAGCGAGGTGTCGCCTGCAGCCCCCTGGAGCCCGCAGAGGAGCGAGGTGCCGCCTGCAGCCCCCCTGGAGCCCACAGAGGAGCGAGGTGCCGCCTGCAGCCCCCTGGAGCCCGCAGAGGAGCGAGGTGCCGCCTGCAGCCCCCTGGAGCCCACAGAGGAGCGAGGTGCCGCCTGCAGCCCCCTGGAGCCCGCAGAGGAGCGAGGTGCCGCCTGCAGCCCCCTGGAGCCCGCAGAGGGCTCACTCAGGACAGGGCTCCAGGAGGTGAAAGGCGCAGGTGTCCTTCGCACCCAGAGCTGACAGCAGCAGCTCTGCCCGCTCGGCCGGCAGCTCCCATACTATGTCTGTTCGCCTGGCTGGTGCCCATGATGAAGGGCTGTCGAATGTTTTGAGTGTCATCCCCAATGGCCCTTGAAGGAAAGAGGACCCTGTTCATTTTCATCACTAGTGAGCTGTTACCTCATATGCAAGTCATCCACAAGCACTGACTACATGAATGCCCACTGGGAATCCTGCCTGAAAAGTCAGGGCCCTTCCAGTTTCACATTTATAAGAGCGTGCAAAGGCAGTGAAATTATTCAACAGAACATCCAAATTCACGGAGTCTACCACGCCAAGAAAATGAAAGCAGAAGCATTTGATTCTTCTTGTTAAATCTCTCTCCAGAACCAACTTCTTCTGAAACACACACACACACACACACACACACACACGAAGTGAAGACAGAATCACTTACTGACTGGAAGACGTCACTCTGACGGTCATTAATCGTGCCAAGGCCTAACACCAAGCAGCTTCACAGACACACAGCAAGTCTGCAGAATCGTAAGGTACAAGTAAACCCCAAGTGCACTAGACACTTTCACGGCCAAGAAAAAGGAAGCAAAACGCTGTTTCCAGGACAATGCAACAGTTACAGCGTATTTCCTCGTGTGCAGCACGCTTGTCTATGGTGAGTGGCACTTAAGTATTACACAGTAAATACTGAAAGAACCCAGAAGTTTTGGATGTGCAAAAGCAATATCACATTATTAATACAAAAGTTGCTAAGCTACAAGATTATAATACCACTATTTGGGTGTTGATACCACTTTAAATTTTCAATACACTTCTGACACATGGCCTCCGGTTGGCCAGCTGTGCTCCCAGCACCGCCTCAGTCAGACCAGTCGTTGTCATCGAACTCCGAGTCGTCGTCGGAATCGCTGTACTCCACGGCAATGCGCCTGGACAGGATCGTGGCCACGTCGTTCCCGACTGGCTCACGCTTGGCCTCTTGTTCCCGCTGCTCCTGTACTTTTTTCAGCTGAATTCCTAGAGACACGAAACATGGTTTAGAATTCAATCCTTTTGTTTGCCCTAAATTAAGGGAAAAGAAACCAGTAAGCCTACTTGACTTTTTTTTTCCTACTGACACTAAGGAGAAATAGTTTTAGAAATCTGAAGGTAGAAAAGCTTAGAAAATAGAAGTTTCATGACAAAAAAAAAACAAAAAGAACATGTACTCAAAGTCATAACTTTTTTAACAGCAAAGCGATGTGTAAGAATATAAAAAGTCAGTTCTACTTCCAGGCACATGAACACCACTAAAGAAACCCTGGAGCTGCAGCGTCCAGTGTGGTGGGCTGTCTGGGTAAGCCGACCGTCAGACACAAAACAGGTCTCTCAGTACAGAACACCTCCCTGCACAGGCCTGGTGCTGGACCATGTGAACACGAAACAGGTCCATCATTACAGAACACCTCCCTGCACAGGCCTGGTGCTGGACCATGTGAACACGAAACAGGTCCATCATTACAGAACACCTCCCTGCACAGGCCTGGTGCTGGACCATGTGAACACGAAACAGGTCCATCATTACAGAACACCTCCCTGGACAGGCCTGACAGCTCTTAGCTATCCTGTGGAGGTGACTGAGGAAACACTGTTTCAATAATTATTGTTGAAAATGGATATAAAATGCAACCATCTACTCTCTTACCTAATTAGTAACAAAATCAGTTATGTGATTATTTAATGTATAAACTATTTAACTTTTTCTTTTGAAATAACTTCAGATTTATAGAGCAGCTGTAAGGCCAATAATAAATTGTTCCCACATGACCTACATCGCGATTCCCCAGTGGTAACATTTGTTTTAGTCATCTTTCTCTATCATTGTTATTAACACACACAGAGACACCTTTTTTCTGGACAATTTAAAAGTAAGTAGCATATAATTTGCCTCTTTGCCCTTTGCCCCAAATGACTTCATGTCTAATTCCTAAAAAAACAATGATTTAAATTCAGACTATCAGCATAGGTAAGTACTACCATCTAGTCTGCAAATGTTATTTAAATTTTGCCAACAGACCTAACATAGCAAATAAAAGTTCTCCACCAGATTTGGGATCTTATACGAATCACCTGTTACATTAATGCTCCTTAATTTGGGCAGTTCTTCAGATTTGGTGCTTTATGACCTTCACATTTTTGTAGAATGCCCTCAATCTGGGCTCATCAGAAGTTTTCTCATGGGTAGATATTTGCAATTATTACTCTCACTGGGCAGGGCGCACAGGTGTCAAAAAGCAAACACTGTCATTGGGACCCCAAGTTCATGATCAATGAGATATTAAATAACTCTGGGGCTTTTTTCTTGACAAAATCAAAATGCGTCCATGACACTCGCGACATGAGAACTCGGGAATCTGCAGGAGGGTGTGTGTGCCGCACTCAGGCTGATTCAGGGTGCTCAAGCCAAGAGCACAGGCAGTGATATCCCGGCTGTGGGAGGGACGTCACTGATGCTACAGCCAGGCTCCCTCCGCCACTTCCCGACTGACACAGCTGAACTGTGACCGACACACTGTGCGGCTCCTCGGTGTCCGAGAGGCTTGTAGAACATTCCACACCCTGTCAGTGGCCCTCAACCAACCCGGCTGCGACCTGGGGCAGAGAACAAATGGTGTGAAGCAGATGTTTAATGTGGGGTTTTGAGGGGAGACCACAGTGGCTGGGTCCAGGCTCCCCACTGATTTGAGAGCTGCTCTACTTCTGTGTTTCATGTTCTGGGGTTCGGTGCAGGACTTTCATCTCACAAAAGAGTCTGCTGCTACGCAAATGTTACTTGTTTAGCACATCAAACTAAAAATTCAAAAGGTCTAGGACATACCTTAGATATTTAAAAAAAAAGAATCATTTATATGAGCTCATTTTCTTTCATTTATACTTTTGCTGTTAGCGTAGAATGTAGAGAAGAATCAATCATTTATATTCTTTATTTCTAGTCAAGTAAAGCTTTCCTGAATTCTCAGTTCTTTTTCTTTATGTGTTTACTTTGTACTGGCAAAAACACATCTACTATTTTTTAAAATATCAAATAAAGCTCCTTCTACCGTCTTCTAAACAGCAATCTAGGGTGGTGAGCGGTCAGGTGGAGAACGCTAAGCTGGCTGGAGACAGGAAGCTCCCGGCGGCGACGACCGGGGCGCACTCACCCATCCGAATGGCAGCGAGAAGGTCACTGCGAGCATCGCTTCCGGGTGGCTGTGCGGATTCTTGTCGCTTTGCCTCAGCTACCGGAGGGCCGTGCATGGGGGAGGATGAGAGAGAAGAGCCTGCGCCAGGGGGGCCTGGCGGGGGAGGCGGGGGGCCCGGAGGAGGCGGCGCCGTGACCACCAGCCCACTGGAGGCCGGGTGAGGAGGCGCCGGGTAGGAGGGTCCAGCTGCGGCCGGGAAGGAGGGCTGCGTGGGAATCTGGAGAGGACTGACGAAGGCAGTCTGTGCTGAAGGAATCATGGGGGGGGGTGGGGGAGGAGGCGGTCCTGAGGGGTTGTAATACTCAATGATCTGCGCTGGGAGCATCCTGATGAGAGAGGAAACAGAGTCATTCAAGCAGCACAGAGAGGCTAATAGAAAGGCCTCCCCCAAATGCAATACACATCGGCATTTGGATCTGAAACACTGCAGGACGCAAATGCCCACCCACTGGGTCAGTTATGTCCACAGGCCTACATTATCCACTGAAATGCATCTAAAAGATAACCACTCAGAAAGTAATTCCTGCCCTGGCCAGTTCTGCTCAGTGGTTAGCGTATCAGCCCATGGACCAAAGAGTCACAGGTTCAATTCCCAGCCAAGGACATGTACCAAGTTGCAGATTCAATCCCTGGCCCTGACAGGGTCATGTGCAAGGCAACCAATGGATGTGTCTCTCTCCCTCCCACTCTATCTAAAAATCAGTGGGAAAATATCCTCAGGTGAGGATTAAAATAATAATAATAATAATTTCCTGTGAAATGCTAGAATCGCTGACTGCACAGGTAAGAACAGCAGCTCAAATGCATCCTTCCCTCTGGGCACCTCACAAGCAGGTGGCTCAAAACAGCCAATCAGATCTGGAAAGTTATGTACTTTATATAACCCATCTCCATGGAAATCCCCCAAGCCACCATTCCCATCAGAATATCAAAAGCTTTGAAAAGCCAAGAAGTCTGCTGAGTTCTGTTTAGTCAAAGGTTTTGCAATCCAACTGGACCCCAGACCCATTCTGCCTAACCCTCAGAGCCTCAGAACAAACTCGGGAGTCCTGACTTAACAAGAACCCACGGCGGAAACAGCCTGGACTGTGGTCAGGGAGGAGACCTCTGAAAGCTGAGATGTACACGCACAAAGTGCTGCACACAGTTCATGGAAACACACATCCACCTGTCCCGGGCAGTGACTCGGAGACTGGCGCTTTCAAGACTGGGGTTATGCCAAGAGAGAGAGCTAGGACAGCCCACCAAAATACAGGTGGGTGCTTAAATTACGAAACACTTGAACATGACGGTCTTCTCTAGGGCTGTTTGAATTTTACCCAATTGACAGAAAACAAGGTGGGAGAATGACAGCTGGGCAGCAAGGGCCCAGTAAGGAGGTCATGCAGCCGAGTGTGAGAAGTGACACCAGGGGAGCTGTTCTGTCCAAGGTTCTCATGCGGGGAACGGGTTCTCCATGGTTCACCAAGGACAGGTGGAGAAATTTGAGGATTTGGGGCAGATTCACCAGGTCGGAGTTCCATCCTTTACCAATGCCTCTGCTTACAACCCACGCACACATACATGAATATGTATGTTGAAGGAGTGTACACATGAATATGGACATAAACCTGAGATTTATCTGCAATAACAAAAGGGAAGTAGTAGACACTGCATTTTTTAACAAAATTGGTCATAACCAATAGTATCCATATTCAATCCTTCTGGGCTGCATTCTGGCCTCCGAACTGACTGTGCCACTACATTCCTATACCACACAACAGGGAGTGGCCACTGGAGCCCAGGGAATATAGAATTACCCATAGTCCGCGGGAGCCATGGGTGCCGAGGCCTGGGGCCCCTCTGCGGCCTGCGGTGGGGGTGGCGGAGGTGGCTGCTGAGGTCTGTTCAGGGCCATGTGCCTCGCCGAGGCGGAGGGGGGTCGGTACTCATGCTCGGGGGCCTGGGTGGCAGGCCCATGTGGCAGCGCGTCAGCCACTGCGTACGAAGGGGTGGCAGGCTGCGGGTGCAGAGAGTGGTTGGGAGTGGCTGGATAAGAGTAATCTGTGACATCCGATGCGTGAGACCTGACATTCAAAAGAAGGGTGGGAGAAATGTAAATTAAGTTAAAAAGACTTTCCCTAAAGGCATCTAAGCATGTGTTTGAACAGTAACATTGCCAATGCACAGAAATCACACACTGATTCCTTTACTGTCAACTAGGTCTAGCCTCATGAGAGCTTCCAAGCACCCGCGTAATTACTACGTTAGCAGCGAGCCCAGGTTACGTGGATTCAGATTCACAGCTTTACAGTGAGTGAGTCAGATCTGCAAGCAGGAAGCAGCAGAGCCCCCTTTCGCAGTATTTCAGCACACGTCCTTGTAACAGGATTCAATTTACAAACAGCACCGAAGACAGAGGACGTCAGGGGCCAGAACACTGACAGCATACCATTAGAAATTACAAAGTGGCAGGTGGACTGGATAGATATTAACGGTGAAAACAGAAAAAGAAATCAGGAGCACAGTACAGTAAGACAGTTTTCCTAAACAGAAGAAAGGTACTGAGCCAAAGAAGAACACAGCGCAGCAGGGAAGGGCCTTCCCGCCTTCCCTGAACACACAGCCGCGGGTGAAACTCTGCAAGGAATGGAGACTGTATTAGTGGACAGAGCGCGGACAGACACCAGCCAGGCCTCCTGGGGGCACAGGGACTGGGGAGGTCGCAGCTAAACAGCGCCATGGCGTTAGTAACGGACAGTCGCGCTCCAGGACACGTGGTCAGTACGGCTGCACATCCTCTCAGGATGGCCAAAGCAGAGTAGGCAACCTGAGGTTGGCAATCAAAAAGCAAAATGACAAACCCTCTGGGCGTCCTGTCCTCGTTCATGCTCCCTGCCTGTTCCAGTGTCCTTGCGTCACTCATAAACTCAATGCCCATCTTCCTCCTCTCCCACTCTTCTCTTCTTGTTCTGACTTTTCTCACATTTATTTGCTGGCTCCGGGGAGGATTCAGCTTGTGTCTCTCTCTCTGAAGGAAACAGGCAGACACACATGGGATGCAGAGGAGCAGGCAGACACCAGCTGAACTTGGGTCTTGGAAATCAGACGCAGCTCCCCTTAACCGCAGCATCACACACACACAAGAGCTCTCTCCATCCCAGGAGACTGCTTCCTTGCTCTTCCCTAGCTGCGGTGATAACGAATAACCCTCCTTTTCCTTCCCTAACTGCAATGCAAATTCTGTATTACGGTGCGCATATGATGATGTCTTTTGAACTATGCAATGGGCTGGCAAGTAAGTTAAAAATATTTTTAATGGGGAAACAATCTAACCTGTATTTAGATTTAGTATATTTTTACAATGTAAAGACCTAAAACTCGAGTCACTGGTGATGTGTGCTTGACTCTGTGTGACTATGTCACAGGCTATGTGTACAATTTCTTTATTTTTTAAGTTTTTTTAAATTGATTTTTAGAGAAAGAGGAAAGGAGAGAAAGAGGGGGAGGGATGGAGAGAGAAAAATGTCAATGTGAGAGTGAAACATTGATTGGCTGCCTCCTGCACGCCTCTAGCTCATCATTCAGGAATCAAACCGGCGACCTCTTGGTGCATGGGACAATGCCCAACCAACGGAGCCACACTGGCCAGGGTTATGTGTTCCTAGAAAAATACAGAGTGCTTCTCATGAGATGAGGAGCCAGAAATTGTAAGTTTTCTGGAATAATTTAGAGTGCTGTCCTTTTAAAGTAGCTTTATGACACAGCAAAAAGGAGCCAATAGAACAGAGGATGACCAGACGGACGAGTAAATAAAGGAACAGGCAGTGAATGTCCGCATTCGAGAATTATCGCAGGGGAGTTGTGGAGGGCAGGACTTGGAGGAAGGGTGGGTAGGACAGAGGACTGGTCGGTTTAAGAGTGAAGGCCCACCTAAAGGGGAACCCCAGTGGGCTGGAGGAGAGGTGAGGAGTGGGGTGACTTCTGGGAGACAAAGACGCCCATGCAGGAAGGCAGAATCAGCCAGAGACAGGCACCCGTGTGGAGATGAGTGGGCTGGTCCTGTGACCATCTGTTACAAAAAAGAGAACTGGTAGAAGAGAGATTATATGGAAACAGGAAGAAGGAAAAGCAGCGGGACTCCCCCGGGGTTTTGTGGGGAGACAGGTGAGGTGGGTCCAGAATAGGATGAGCAACAGCAGTAAGACAGGTGGGCCTGGGGGTCTCACACCCCCAGATAATGATGGAAGAGAGCAGTGGGCCAGCAATGAGTTCATGCTCGTCCTAAATTTATGTTCAGAATCAAACCATTCCTGATCATCTACAGAGAGCAAAATGTATCATTAGTTTATGTGAGCTGGGTTAAAATATATTACCTATATGAACAGCTTTATTATATACAAGCTATGAAACTTAATATTCAAATTCCCTTCAGTTATCCTGAAAACATCCATTAGAAAATGTTTCTAGCCCTGGCCGGTTTGGCTCAGCGGTTAGAGCGTCGGCCTGCGGTACAGAGAGACTGGGGTTCGGTTCCCGCTAAGGGCATGTACCTCGGTTGCAGTTTGTCCCCGGCCCTGGTTGGTCGTGCGGGTGGCAGCCACTCGATGTGTCCCTTTCATATCGATGTTTCTCTCTCTCTCTCTCTCTCTCTCTCTCTCTCTCTCTCTCTCTCTCTCTTCCTCTCTCTCCCTCCCACTCTATCTGTACAAAAATTGGAAAAATGTCCTCAGGTGAGGATGAAAAAAAAAAAAAAAATGAAGATGTTTCTAAATAATATTTAAAATATGAATATAAAAAAATTAAAAAGTGAAAAGACAGAAAATACAGAGCATAATTTCAATTATGTACACACAGTACACCCGTACAAAAAAAACAGCAAACAAAAGAATGCAGTAAAATGCAAATGGTGGTTTCTCCAGATAACAGGATTATGGATAATAGTTTAATGTTTTCTGCAATTTCCTAATATAAAATAATTTCTCTTATTTTATAGTAAGAAAAAGTGATATACTTTAATAAAATAAAAAATTTCTAAGTCAATGTAAGGGATGTAATCCAAGTACAATGATTAATTATAATCTATTTATCTGGGACAGGCATATAGTGAGAGACCATGAAGAACTGTATGAGACAAAAGCAATTCTAAAGAAACAAAACTGATCATTCCATTTGTTTTTGAAAAATAAAATAAGTGATGATACATCTGAAAATGGCTACAAAGGCAGAATACTAAATCATCTGCAGGACCACTCATTTTACTCCCAGTATGGAGAAATCTAATCTCACATGTTAGAATGAGCATCAACCACTCAACTGAGGGATTAAAAAATCATTTTTCTATCAGTACGCATTGAAATAAAAGAGTACATGTGGAGTATTGTAAAATAAAGTATATGTTTTACATGAGTCAATAATACAACTACATTAGCTGGAAAAAAACAAAACGCAAACTGACACCCTGGGAGAGGTCCAGGTCAGGTGTCTCCCCACTGAAGATGAGCAGAACGGTACCATCATTCTTGCTGTCAAAAGGAACAGAGTGACATCCAGATTCAAACGCGACGAGAGCTCAGTTAAAGCTCCGATAATTCTCTAACATTTAGCAATAGCAACTTGTACAGAACAATTAGCTGGAACTTGCCTCATATCCTACCAATGACTTACAGTGCTTCTGGGGCAGAAACATTCACGGGCCTATAACAACCAAATATTAATAAGCAGCTTCTGTATGCAGAGTCTGTGCTAAACACTGAGGTTATAAAGACACAATTTACTGGAAAGGGACGCAGATCGAAAGCCAGGTCCAGGCATTGCTGTTTTTGGAACATCCTGCAATCACATAAGAATTCTCCATTCAAATTCTGAAATGCTGATGGAAGACTCTGAGAGATTAAGCAAATGCAAGACAACAACTTTACAAAAGCAGAAACAAAATTAAACCATAAGTTAAAATTGATTAGTCAGTTTCTATTGTTCATGAACCCCTTTGTGACAAATGTGACTTGTTGATCACATCATTCACACCTGCAAGAAATATTTTTACTTAATTACTAACATAATTTTAAAGGAAATACCAACAGAATTCTCCTGAAATCAGAGCGCTAAGATTAGTGAACTAAAGAAATAAACATCCCTTTTGCTCATCACGTTTTTAAAAGGTTATCGAAAACAGCAGTGAAGTTATCCTTAATCACATCAATTACTACCTACCAGTCATTTTTTGATACCAAATAGCAAAAGAAATTCAGCATTCTAAGCGAAAGAGTAAGACAAAGAATTAAATGAGTAAATGAAAATGTAAGTCATTGGCAATCGTTAAGCCCAAATCAGAATCCATGTTAAACTACTTAGTATCTCTATCAACTAAGTCAGAGATAAGGAAAATCACACAATGTAACCCAATGCGGAATAGAACTGCTTTAAAATATTTCAAAATTCAAAAAAATATATACATACATATACATATATACACACACCTATATATGTGTATGTATACACATATATACATATATATATGTGTGTGTGATTTTTAATTAATTTTTTAAGGAAAGACTTGAAATATAAACACCAAAACTACTAGTCATCATTTCCAAGGAATAATAAAATGAAGCACTACTTAGAGGCATTACTACACGCGCGCGCACACACACACACACATACACACATACACACACACACCTAGTATCTGGGGACAGGGATCCCTCGGAAGACGCTCCGTGGTACACGCTCTGAGACAACCTGTTGTCGGGTCTGAGCTCTTTGTCATACGCCATCATATTCCACTCCTGGCGCCTGTTCCTGGCTTTTCTAACCTTTTTCACCTCACGGGTTGTGCCATCTATACGCTTTTGCTCCTGAGGTCCAGGAAAGAAAGCAAGCATGCCGAGACAGAAGGGAAAGGAAAACAGGTTAGATGCAGTCACAATGCTCAGGAAATAAGCCTGGTGTGCACACAGAGACAGTCCCCTCCCGTCATTCTGATGCCAGACAATTCTAACACAGCATCCCTCTTTCCCAGCCCAGCCCCAACAAAAGTAACCAATACTTTACTATTTAACCCAAATAAATAAAAATGACTCTGCTGCAACTACTAGAATTGCGTACCATCATTTTTAGTAAAGGTTCTCACCTTACTTGGCTTTTACCTTGTTCTTATACCTTTAGATCTATATTATACAGATGAAATGTCTGATGACACCATACAGAGAAATCATTCCCCCACCTGTACACAATTTTGGCTGGCTTGTTAACATGCGATCATCTTTCAAAAAATAATTCAAAATGTTCTATATCTAGTTTCTAAAAGAACCACTTAAGAAAATCCTGCAATGAGCTGAACCCAAAACAAAAACAAGGTAAGAACTTACCTTCCCACAGGACTCATTTTTGCTCCAGCCCTACTTTGCCAGCAAAAACGTATCCAATAAATACTTGAGTCCCACATAGGTGCTTCTTTAAAGGCAAGAACAATTATTTCTATGTGTGTTTATATGTTTTTCCTGCTTCCCTCATAAAATGTTATGCTCTCTGAGGACAAGAACTATGTGCCTTGAAGCCCCACACTCCTCTCTCAGCCCTCCACGCAGCCTACCTACAGTGCACACTCAGTCAATGCTGATAAGTGATCGAGTCCAGGAGAGCTTCTGGGGCTCTGTGTCCCAGTGCATGCCAGGCACTAGTGATTCAAAAGGCGAACAACAGCAAGATGATGGGCGTCTGCTAATGGAGCTTTCAGTCCACTGGGGGAAGCTTACAAAATCCCAGAAATAAATGTAGACTTATGAAATGTAGTAAAAACAGAAATGCATCATGTGCAGAATGCTGTCTCGTCTGGAAGTCAGGGGTAGTGTCTGGAGTGAGTGAGAGGGAAGACCCGTTTATGAACGGGCACTGATTCTGCAAAGGAGCCCGAGTCAGAGCACGCCAGGAGGGGACAGAGCGTGCAAGGCTTCTGCGGAGGAGGGAGAGCTTCATAGAAGGAGAAATGAAAGAAGGTGAGTGGCCCCCAAAGACCAGAAAGGTGGGCGAGACCTTAAAGGCTACATTGAAAATGCTGTTCTTGCCCTGGCTGGTTTAAGTCAGCAGTTAGTGTTGGTCCACAGCCAGAAGGCAACCAATCGAGGTCTCTCTCTCACATAGATGTTTCTCTCTCTCTCTCTCCCCCATCCTCCTCCTTCTCCTCCTCCTCCCTCCTTTCACTCTCTCTAAACACCAATGGAAGGTGAGGATTAACAAGAACAACAGTAAACCACTGAAGAATAAGAAGGGAAGGGCTGACATGCTGAAGAGGAAGAGGCATTTGGAAAGATCCATCGACATTGTGGAGAACAGATGCAACAGGAAAGGCAGAGACACCCATTCGAAAGCTGCTCAGGTGGTGGGGTGAGAGGACGGCGAGCAGCTCACGGGTGAGAGTGAAGACAGACAACAACTACACCGTTTCCAGAGGTATCAAGCAGGCACAGGCTATGTATTGGCAAAGAATGTGAACACGAAAGTCACAGAACATATACAAAGGATTAATAGAGATAAAAAGATATGTGATGCCAATTAGATTTGGGGGTGGGAGGACTCATCAAAAATAAATAAATAATCATATCCAGGACTGGAGGAGGCCTGTTAAGAGTGTAAACTGGTCTAGTGTTTTAAGGATCATGGGCAATATGATGATAACTTTCAAAATTTGAAACTCACATTTGACTTCTAGGAATTTATCCTGAAGGAATACCTGTACATGAGTACAGGGATATCCACTGCAGTACTATAACAGTAACAATTCAGAAACAACCTAAATATTCATTGCTACAGTAAAGGCCAAATAGTTTATGATGCATCCATACTTTGGAATATCATATAATTATTAAAAAGAATGAAGTACAGCCCTGGCCGGTTTGGCTCAGCAGTTAGAGCGTTGGCCTGCGGTCTGGAGAGACCCAGATTTGGTTCCCGCTAAGGGCACGTACCTTGGTTGCAGTTTGTCCCCGGCCCTGGTTGGGTCATGTGGATGGCAACTACTCGATGTGTCCCTTTCACGTCGATGTTTCTCACTCTCTCTCTCTCCCTCCCTCCCACTCTATCTGAACAAAATATCAAAAAAAAAAAAAAAAAAGTCCTCAGGTGAGGATAAAAATAAAAATAGACTAAAAAGAAGTACATCTTCAATTATGTCAATATGTGTGTGTATGTGTAGTACAATTCTATGCATATAAAAATACTTTTTGAAAGGTATATGCATTTATTTTTGAATGCTTAAAAATAAAAAATCTAAATCTAAAAATATGCATGCCAAACTGCTAAATGTTGACACAGTTAGTTATGCCCAGGGAAGGGAAAACTTAACCCCATATTTTCTAAACTAATGTATTTACTTTAGTGTAATTTGAGCATTTTACAATCTGCATGCATTGTTTGTATACTTTTAATAACAACAACAAAACACCACCACCACGAACAACAACAAAAAGGAGAGAGACCTCAACGATTCCAATATACATCCTGATTAGGAACCACTATATTAAATTAGACTATCCCCCTTACTTTTAAGAGATGTGTGTTGACATGTTTAAGAATTGTTAATAATAACTCTCTTTGCAATAGTTCAGCCTCCAAATTTACTCATCAACATGCACACACCACCCACCCACACCCACACCCACAGGAGCCATGTGTGACAGAGGGTAATAGTGATGCATCTACACTCCCAACTACACTGGCCTCCATTCAAATCCCTAGAAAATACCAAACCATTTCCTAGCCCAGAATGACCTCAGCTACTTCTACTGAGAAGGCTCCTCAGTTCTGAAGCAGCCCGCCTCTCCTACCCTCCACGCCTCCAGCACCCCCTCACCTGCACGTGCACCCACACACTGACCTGAGCTAACGTCTACCCATCGCTGGACCCCCACGAAGACCCCGAGAGGCTGTCCTGAATTCCACGTCCCCTTCACTGTCATCCCCACCCGTCATCCCCCGCAGCCCACCACACTTCTCCTTCACACTTACCAGCACTGTACCTACATACTTCCACCTTCATATTTACTTGCATAATTTTAAAAACGTTTTAAATGGATTTCTCATACCCAAATTTTCTAAACTAATTTTTCCTTCAGATAGACTTGTCAGTTCCAAATTGGAAGTGACTTGCTTTTCAGAAACCCTGGAGGATTTCCAGAATGAAGGAAATCTTGCCTCGTTTTCTGCTCCTACATAAAGCAGCTTGTATTACACGTTCGAATTCCGTTCCCTCGTTATGAGTTCCAGAGGGCTGCATCATTACTTAATGCTCGTTTTCCCCACTCAAGTAATCCCCATGATGGTGGGAATCCGATCATTTTCACCACTGTTTATCCAGCATTTAAAGGCTTTTTAAAAAAAGTATTCTATAAACGAATGAATAAAAATCCTTATCAGAATTTTATGTGTTTGAAGAATGTGGAATGAGACAAAACTGCCGAGGAAATGACAGCTAATTTGATGACCCAATAATCATATTAGATTAAAACTGTTTTCCCCCAAAAAATACTGGTGACAAAATTAAACATTTTTGCCAAAACTATCACTGAGAAGAGAAACCTAGCAGGTAATCTGACAGGACAGGCACGTTTTAAAGGGAATTCCTCTTAGAAGCCCTGGGGCTTTGGCCTGTTATTATAAGAGGCGCGTGGGTCAAGACCAATATGACTGTGAATTATCTTCCTTTTCCATTCCAGAGAAGGGGATCTGCCTTTTCTTCACTTGAACACTTTGGAGTTTCTTGGCTTGAATACCCCTCCACTTGAGTATTCGTAACTCTACCAAGATCTCCCAGTGAATCCCAACCCACAAGCACAAGGAGAATGACTATCCAAGCCTTTGAAATTCTCTCCTGGAATTCAGTGGGAACATCTTATATTCACAGTCTGCTTGAGCCTAATTTCTGGGACCCAGGAATCATTTTCGAGCAAAAGTCCCCACACCTGCGTAGAGTGGGCTTGTCCCTCCGGGAGGGCTCGCAATGCAGGTGCTTCTCCGCCTTCAGACCTGCAATGATCCCGGCTGCCTCCACCCACCACGGAGCCTCCCTTCAGCGAACCCGTCCTCTGGACTTGCGGATCACACCCGCTTTCCGATCCAATGTGAGCACTCACCAAAGCATTAGTACAGCTGGGTGGCAACCCAGTTATGAAAAGAGCTTTAAAACCATGGAAGCAGGTAAGTATTTCTGACATGGAACGTGGACTGCTTGATGATATTTGAAAGAGCAGGAGAAAAATTCTGAAAGATGATTAGAAACAAAACTGAAATTTTAGCCACTACTCTTATGAAAGCAAAGCGAGTGTTAAGTAACAAATCAAGAGTATTTGCTGAAAAACAGTATTACTGTGTTAGGCTGACTTTGTCAGTATCTGCATGTAAATACTACAGTCTTTAAAAAACCTTCATCACTAACTCCAACATCTCAACTGATCAAGTAAAGAATTTACAGACTTCTTTCCAAACAAGAATCCATTTACACATTTATATGTACGTTTCCCCAATAGAATTATTTACCTTTTGACGCCTTTTCTCTTTCCTCTTGTCTTCTGTGTCCTGTAGCATCTTTTCTTTCCAGAGGTCAAAGAAATAGGAAGGATCGGTATAGAACTTCAGCCCATCCTTTTTATCATCTCTATAAATCAAGGTAATACAAGTCAAGGGGAAAAAGGCTGTTAGATATCTTCATATGAGGTTAATATCATTCACTTTTAACTCATGAGATTGTAGCATCTGAATAGAGAATTTTGTTGTTGTTAATCTTCACCCAAGGATATTTTTTCCATTGTTTTTTTAAAGAGAGTGGAAGGGAGAGAGGATGGGGGTGAGAGAGAGAGAGAAACATCAATGTGAGACACATTGATCAGTTGCCTCCTGCATGAACCTCAACTGGGGCTCGATGGAACCTGTAATCCAGGTTCCTGCCCTTGACCAGGAATCAATCCCACAACCCTCTGGTGCGTGAGCCAATGCTCAGCCACTGAGCCGCACTAGCCAGGGCTGCATGGGGCATTTTTAACTGTCCTATATATTGTTAAGTTTCTCAGCTATCCTTACGTGAAAAAAATTATAAGTATTCAATAACATCAACTTTTTCTAGAAGAATTAGGCAAAAAGTACTCTTGCAAATTTAAATATAGGAAAGTGGCCCTAAAAATCACAATATGGCTCGTAAACAATAATATTTAAAACCTCAATTATTTCAGGAAATGTTCTGTTTATTCCAACAAAGGGCTATACACAGAAACAGATTCATTCTTTACACACACATGCAAAAACACACATTTATTTTTACTCTGGAATGTCAGTGTTATGAGGATCAAGATTAGTAAGTACTCTGTCCCTTTTTCTCAATCAGGTTTGCCCAATATCTAAAAATTCATTTAAGAAAAAAGCAAAACATTCATGATGTGTAAATGTAAGGGAAACAGTGGAAATATTTTGAAAGTGGAAGTAACCCATAAAGAAAATTCAATGTAGCCATTTCATTTTCAAGCACTGCTATAATTACTGTGGTCTAGAGAATATTTCAAGTCTGCATAAGTTATTCATTTATCATAAAACCAATAATAATGCTGCCAACATGGATCCAAAGTTATAATACCAATCAATAGTAAATCTCAAAATAAGCATGACAGGAAGTAAACCCTCTATTCTATCAATGCTTTAAGAGCATCTGGCCTAGAGAGTACCTTCAAGAGGAAGTAAAACACATTTCAAATCAGTATTTCACTAAGTCATTTAAGGCACACAGAAGTACCAAAAATTAGTGAAATAAGGATAGGAAAGAGTTTATGCCCGAACAGTCAGAGCAAGCTCAGTGAGGCCTTCCAGGGGCAAAGCCGTCCGCCCCTGCACCTCCTGCTCCGCCCCGTCCTGTAAGCCCCTCATCAACTGATAGAGGCCCTGGTTCCTGAGGGCTCCTCTGGTCGCGCTCTCTGAAACCACTACCAGACCAGTGCACTGTACCCACGAACCTTCAATTACTTAAAATCCTTCCTTTCTTCTCCGAATTCCCTAATTGATAAGCAACCTGTGTTGAGATTTTATTAATAACATACTGTGAAAAACATAATTTGTTTCCCTAAATACTAAGCCTTCAATACAGATGAAGATATAGAAAATCTGAGCATGAACTTGCTGCAAAATTTAAGATTTATAAAATGTATATTTTTAAAAAATGGATCTAATACTTAAATGAGGGTAGACACTCACATAAGTAAACAAATGTTAACCTTGACATAAAAGCAGAAATGTCCTGTTTACAGCTACTAAACACTTGATTTTTCAGTCACATTGTACTTTTTATATATTACCTCTGTTGAGGCAGTGTTGTAATACTGAAGCTCAAATGCAAGAGCTGGTGCTTTACATACCCAAAATATTACCGTTAACAGAAAGCAGGTTTGAATTTGAATAGTGCTATTCTTCAACACACTACTGAAGAGTCAGACATTTTTATTCTCCATAAAACCGAATACACACATACAATATATATGAAAGTCAATTAGTTTTTTATGCTATTAAAATGTTTGAAAATCACCACAAACATTTCATCTTGATCTTGATTATCCAAATATAAGTGGTTAGTGAGTTTTCTGGGTTTCTTCCTTTAGAACAGAATATTTAGTGAGGGTTCTGGGGGAAATTTTAGTAAGCAGGGCTCCCAGGGCCTAAATAACACTGAAACTGTGGCAGAAAAATGCCTACTGAGCATAAGCAGAATCACAAGTTAAAACATCATGCTTGCCCTGGGCGGTTTTGCTCAGCGGTTAGAGCGTTGGCCTGTGGACCAATGAATCACGGGTTTGATTCTGGTCAAGGGCACATACCTTGGTTGCACTTCATCCCCAGCCCTGGTCAGGGTCGTGCGGGGAGAAACCAGTCGATGTGTCCCTCTCACATCGATGTTCCTCTTTCTCTTTCCCTCCCTCCCACTCTATCTTTAAAAAATCAAGAGAAAAATATCCTTGGGTGAAGATTAACAAAAAAATAAAAGGCATTTTTAGTTTCTTAATGTTAATTTTTTGTACTATTTATTTTTCACTCTTTTTCTTGGAAGTCTGGTCCTGATAATGTGTCCTACTATTTTACAATAACAGAAAGTTGGTTTGTTGACTGTATTTTCACTCCTGAAAACCCCTAATGCTGCCGATTACAGTTTTCTAAACTAAATAGCAAATGCCTGTGCAGGGCTGGGATGCCGGACAGCCATTCTGCCGCACTGGGACCGAATGATGCAGTGCCTTTAAATTAACTGAGCGTGAGGCACAATGTAACCACACACAACGCTGTCATGCAATGTGCTCACTCCCACTTAGGATGTCTACAATTAAAAGCTGAAATCAGAACTCACACTTTCTTGGTAAGTTTATCTATATTCTGAATTACTAAAATGAACAATTCTGTACCAGTGACCACTTTCATTGTCTGTAACACTGAAATTCTTGTTTCCGAAGTTTGAAGATACTTGCACAGCACTGTCGCCCTTTCGATTCAGCTGCACAGACAGGGCCCAGGGACACCTGCAGCCAGACACCTGCAGCCTTACCTGTACGGGGTCAGAATGTCCAGAGGCGGTGGTTTATCACTCTGGTTGTAGATGTCGGCAACAGGGTTAGGAATGCTGTTCTTGGAAACCACCTGCTGGTCTTGGACAGTGGAACTTTTGAAAGCTTTCTTCATGTTGATATCTTGTAGTGACACTATTTAGAGAAAAGTCCCCAAGTTGAGTAATATGAAAGCATAAATAAGTACAATTTGAGTCACAATCACAAACATCTCCTAGAAGAACCAAATAGTAGTTTTTGTCATTCACTGAAAACACGCCGAGTAGCATTTGCTTTCCTTCCCTCTCATGGATCAGTGATCTTGCTGACGTCAAGCCAGGTCTCCCTCCCTCGGCAGTGACCTCCCTGAACCGGACGCTAGAGCACTGTTCTTCATTCAAACAGCACATACTGGAACTCACACAGAAACAGTTAGGAGTACAACAGGCATGTAGATACATAGATCTGGATATTCTGGGGGTGGGGCATTCGAAGATTAATACCAGTTTAATTATAATACATGTAGGAAAGATTTCTGCAGAAATTTTAAAACTAAAGCAAGGTATTAAGTTTTTCTGATATTGTCATTTGGGAGAGACAGCAAAGTTTTTCAACATTCAGCCCCAGAAGTTAAGTACTGTGACACAAAACTACACTAAGGAGTGAGAAAATCAGTCTGGCTATACCTGTTCCTTGTGTTTGTATAATTTTACATCTCATGTACTAACTCATCTACTTTGACACAAGCTTTTGAGGCAGGCAAACTGATCCATTAACCCACTTGACCAGTGGCACTGAGACTCAGAATATGCTGTAAAAGCTCATAAAATTTATTGTATAGGTTAACCTTTTCCAGTGTAAGGTTCATCACAAGAATTTCAATTGCAAGACACACACACACACACACACACACACACACACAAACCTGAAGGAAGATAAATCTTTAAAAATCACTTTGATACCAATTTGAAAGTGAATGATTGATTTAAGATGCTAAAAATTCCTTCTCTGAATAATCAAGTGGGTATTAAATTTTTAGTTTTTTAAAACAGAAGATAAGTTGTAAACATCAGAGTAAAAAGAGCATGCCTTTAGCTCCCCCATTCTTGTTGGAAAAGTCAGTAAGGATGTTTATAATGGACATTAAAAGTACAATGTTCTATATTTATGTTAAATTTCTAATTCACTAATTTAATTCTGACCTTTGCAAGACATGAAGATGAGTAAACCTTTTTAAATGAGGAATGCATTCCATAAATAACCACATTAAAAACAAACTTTCACTTCTTACTACTATTATAGGCCTAATAGAAAACTCAGATGCTTGGATAATTTTAATGCAGTAAGAGAAACTGTAACTACCATTATATAAAGGTAAATATAATGTTTAACCTGAATATTTTTCTCAAAGTGAGCATGAAATGGCATCTCATGCCTTTTTCCCCCACTCTAATCTCAATCCCTCATTCAAAAGACATAGAAAATACATTTTTTTAAAAAGGAATTAAGTTTTAATTTTGTTGCAATGGCCACAATTTCAGGGTATATCATCAAAATGATTACGGTTAACTGCATAGTGCTTGCCAATATTAACATTATTTTAAGAGCCCAAAGCCGAGGCTTCCAGGAAATACTATTTCTGAGAAGTTAAATCACCAAGATTACTTGCAAGCATCAACCTTAACCAGAACATGGATGGAAGCCTTCACTCTGTCGCACTCTATGTATAACCCTCCCTCTTAGTTGGACCATATCTTTGGATTGATTCTGTAATTTTTTGGTAAGAAAAGTATCTTTAAAATCACCACTAATAACCTAAATTAGGACTTCTCATACAAAATGCATTCACAGAATTCTTTAAAAAAATACTACATGTGTAATTTTTTAAAAAACAGGGAGCATGATATATGATAGACATGCTATGAATCTTTTAATTGCTAATTAACCCAAAGTTGTGGGTTGTTCCCCTCACTGTTCTAGCAAAAGACAAGATGAAATATCAGCATACTACCCCAAGGAAAAAGCAGTAATTACCCTGCAATTAATTACTACCGTCTTGTCAAGATCACTGCTAGCTCATTGCATTCCAGCAATTACCTACCCTCTTCCACTGTTGAATCCAACTGGGTAACTTTGACAGCGAGGCGATCAATTCTGTCTTGAAGAGAATTTGCTCTGATGTAAAAGTTGTTAGCCTCATTAAACAACTCACCAAATATGTCTTCAGCATGTTTGCCTATCGAAGAAAATGAACGAAGAGCCATCTGTTAAGAACTGCGAAGGCGGCCCGCCCACATTCGCACCAAGGCTGATGACTGTCAACACACGGGGTTTTGTACAAACAGCTACAGAAATAGAGTGTCAGAGTCAAGGGCCTTTGGAAGTTCTGAAATTTATTAGGGTTGTTCACACATATCTGAAATTGACCCAAAGTTGTAGAATTTTAATACCCCAGGCAGTGCAGAATTATTTTTATTTTATTTATTTATTTTATCCTCACCTGAGGACATTTTTGCATTTATCTTCAGATACAGCGGGAGGGAAAAAGAGAGAAACATCAATGCGAGAGAGACACATCGACTGGCTGCCACCCACACAATCCCAACCAGAGCCAGGGACAAACCACAACTGAGGTACGTGCCCTTAGTGGGAACTGCACCCCGGGACTCTCTGGCCCACAGGCCGATGCTTCAACCACTGAGCCCAACTGGCCAGGGCAGAATTTTTTTTTTTTATCCTCACCCGAGGGCATTTTTTTTTGTTTTTTTGTTCAGATAGAGTGGGAAGGAGAGAGAGAGAAACATCGAGGTGAAAGGGACACATCGAATGGCTGCCACCCGCACAACTCAACCAGGGCCGGGGACAAACTGCAACCGAGGCACATGCCCCCAGCGGGAACCGAAACCGGTTCTCTCCGGACTGCAGGTCGACGCTCTAACCGCAGAGCCAAACTGGCCAGGGCAGAATTTTTATTTTTAATTTAATTATTTTTAATGAGCTATCACACAAGTTGTTTCCCATTAAATTAAAGTTGTTTGGGGAAAAAATCTCTGATTTTGCATGCTTTATACATAAGTAGAATTTCAGGACCTTAACTTTCCTTTTACTTCCAAGGATAATTCAGTAAATCATGTTGGTTTCTAAATTCAGGATCTTATCTTATTCACAATTAGAAACATTAGATATCTTACATTGTGCATATAACACTTTCCAATGGCATTACACTGTCCCAATTCGTATTTTGTAATCTAGGTATATAGTGCTGACTCTGGAACTCTCCAAATATCAGTATTTTGAATTTTGAGTTAAATTTTTCTGTATGGATCCCCTCTACATTCTTGTGAGTGCTAGACACAACTACTTTTCTTAAAGTATAATTAATGCATTTCTGAAAATCTGACAGGCGAGACAGGAATCACATCTGCCTATGTTGAATTTCCAAACTCTAATACCATTCTGTTATTCATTCAACAGTTAGTAACTGCCTATTCTGAGTGTGCCAGGCACATCTGCATCCTGTCTCCTCTGACTGGGATACCACTTTTTTCTCTTTTTTAAATTTCACCCAAGGGTATTTTCCATTGATTTTCAGATAAGAGTAGGAAGGGAGAGAGAGAGAGAAACATTGATGTGAGAGATACACATCGATTGGTTGTATCCCACATGACCTCAACCAGGGCTGGGGATCAAACTGCAACTGAGGTGCCTGCCCTTGGCCAGAATTGAACCCATGACTCTGGTCCTTAGGCCAATGCTCTAACCATTGAGCAAAACCAGCCAGGGTATAGATACCACTTTTTAAGATAAACATTCTTTTTTAAGTACTATTTTAGCTTCACAGCAAAGCTGAGCAGAAAACAGAGTTCCTACGTACCCTGCCCCCGACACACACAGCCTCCCCCACTCTCAGCATCCAGCACCAGAGTGGTAAGTTTGCGCTAAATGATGAACTCACACTGACCCATCATCATCGCCCAAAGTCCAGCTTACATTAGGGTTCACGCTTGGTGTTGTCCACTCTATGGATGTTGACAGATGTATAACTGTACGTACCTACCTTTACAGTATCACACAGAGTAGCCTCACTGCCCTAAAAATCCTGTGCTCCACCTGTTCTTCCCCCACTCAACCCCCAGCAACCATGCTTTTTGCTGTCTCCATAGTTTGCCCTGTTCTAGGATGTTATACAGTTGGAAGCATATAGTATGCAGCCTTTTTAGGTTGGTTTATTTCAGTTAACATTATGCATGTAGGGTTCTTCCATGTTATCAATGAATAACATCCCACTGTCTAAATGTATCCCAGCTCATTTATCCATTTACCTACTGATGGGCATCCTGGTGAGTCCCAGTGTTTTGTAATTATGAATAAATATTTGGGTACACATAAATTTTTCATTGAACATAAATTTTCAACTCATCTGGGTAAGTAACAAGGAGCACGACTGCTAGACTGTATGCGACGAGTATGTTCAGTTTTGTAGGAAACTGTCAAACTGTCTCCAAAGTGGCTGCTCTGTTTGCATTCCCCACAGCAAGGAGCCAGCGCTCCCTGCGACGCCCTCCCGACGCCACGCTGCCATGCCGCCATGCCACCAGGTCTGCCTGCTGCCATGCCCTCCCTGCACTAGGTGTTGGCAGTGATCTGGATTTTAGCTACTCTAATGGATGTGTCCTGGTTTCTCTCTTTACTTTGAATTTCCCTCAGGACACAGGATGTGGAATCTTTTCACATGCTTACTTGCCACCTGTGTATCTTCTTCTGTGGGGTGTCTGTTTAGGTCTGTTCCCGGTTTTTTATTCAGGTTGTTAGTTTTCTTATTGTTCCATTTTAAGAGTTCTTTGTATATTTTGGATATGAGTACATCATATTATGTTTCCCAGTCTGTGGACTGTCTTCTTATTCTCTTAACAGTATCTTTTGCAGAGCAGTTTTTTATTTTAATGAAATCCAGCTTATCAATTACTCATTTCATTTGTCACACGCCTTTAGAGTTGTATCTAAAAAATCACCACCATAGGTCATTTAGATTTTCTCCTATGTTCTCTTCTAGTTTTATAGTTTTATATTTAGGTGTGTGATCCATTTTGTGTTAATTCTTGAGAAGGGTATAAGTTCTTTATTAAGACCTATCATTTCTATGCCCTGGCCGGTTTGGCTCAGTGGTTGGAGCATGGGCCCACAAATCAATGAGTCACAGGTTCGATTCGGGTCAAGGGCACATACCTTAGTTGCGGTTCCTCCCCAGCCCTGGTGGATTTGTGAACGAGCAACCAGTCAATGCGGCTCTATCACATCGATGTTTCTCTCTGTCTCTCTCTCACTCCCTTCCACTCTATCTGATGATAAATAGAAAAATATCCTCAGTTGAGGAATTAAAAAAAAAAAAAGACCTATCATTTCTTTTTATTTGCATATTCTATCAATTCATCAATTTATCACTCAACTGAGAAAAGAACCTGAACCTTCCAGGAAGAAACTTCCTTGGAGCAAGAATAACCCTTAGGTTTTCCTCGTGCTCTCCGGCTCTCACCCACTTCCCAGACTCTCCGCTGTCCTCCAGCAGCCTGAGCACCAGGAGAGCGAGAACCCTGCCCGCCTGTCAGCGCCGGCGCCCCAGAACAGTGCCTCCTGGCACAGCCCTGTTCAACAAATGAGTGAGCTCAGGAGGTAACAGGGAGCTACTGCTTTCATTTCCCAGATGACTAAACTGAGCGTCAGAAATATGTTCTGTTCAAATCTCATGATTAGCAAGTGGGAGGAACAGATGAAACAAAAACTTGGTCTTTAATTCCCTGCTCTTACATATTTTCCTGAACTTCCTTGGCTAGAAATTAGTAACTTCCATGAAACACTGGTAATCTCCTGTTTCCTTAATAAAATGGACTCAAATATTTTTCTGCTTAAATGGTTACTTATAAACACTAAGTATTTCTTATGAATTTAAACTAGTATGACTTTGTAAGTTCTCATAGTGTGAATATCTTAAAAAGAGGAACTTTCTCTTAAAATGTGAGAGCAATAAAGAAATCAATGCTCTGGCCTGCTGGACTAAGCAGTTAAGAACATTGGCCCGCAGACCGAAGGGTCACGGGTTAGATTCCCTGTCAAGGGCACACAGGAGGTTCAATCCCTGACCCTGGTTAGGGTCATGAGGGAGGCAACCAATCAATGTGTCTCTCTCACATCGATCTTTCTCTCTCTCTCTCTCCCTCCCTCCCCTAAAAAAAAAAAATCATTGGAAAAATATCCAATATCCTTGGGTGACAAAAGAAAAAAGAGAAAGAAATCAATAAAAACACCACTGCACCCCAGTCGGGCAGCCACCCATTTCTCCCAGAGTCAGCTACTACACAGCGTGGTCCTCTGGAATCACTCAATTCTGCCAACACTTCCCACTCCCACAATATACAAATGGTTCCAAAAAGCCAAAGAAATAAGGTCTCCATGCACGTTGTGTTTTTGAAGGCTCTAGTTAGATGTGCTATCCAGAACGCAGGCTTGTTTGCTGCCCTGTACACTTTTCCTGCGTGCTGGACCTGTGTACCCAATGTCCCGTGTTCACATCCCTGTCCAGTCCCGTGCAAGTTCTAATGTGGATCCGTGTTCACATGAGCTCGAACCTCCATTCCCCATGTTGAAGGGCATCAACCACCCAAAATGAAGCGGAAGAAATGGAGCCATCTGTGACTGCTGTCTCCCTCTAGAGCGCACTGAACACCACCACATCCAGTCCCTCTGTCCCCACCCCCCTCAGCTTAGACCCTCCTGCTTCTCTCCCGAATTACATCAATGGCTTTTTCTCTGCTTTCAGATTCGCCTCTCACCCTTAAATCCAACTCATCTCACTGTTGCCAAACGACCTTCCTAAAAACAGACCTGACTGGTTCCTTCCTACTGAAATCCCTCATGCTCCCCAATGAAATCCCTCATGCTCCCCATTGAAATCCCTCATGCTCCCCACTGAAATCCCTCATGCTCCCCACTGAAATCCCTCATGCTCCCCACTGAAATCCCTCATGCTCCCCACTGAAATCCCTCATGCTCCCCACTGAAATCCCTCATGCTCCCCACTGAAATCCCTCATGCTCCCCATTGAAACCCCTCATTGCTCCTGTCACCTCGAGATAAAATCTGAGCCTCTCGGCAGGCCCTGGGCACCTCACTTCTCCTTTCTGTGGGTTCCAGTCACAAGAACAACATGCAGTCAGCCCCTAAACCCATCCCACTTCTCCA